AAAGCGGCTGTAATGATTTAACGTGCGTTTTAATTTAAGTTGCTCACGGGCATCTCTGTCCTGCTTTGTGAATTATGCTTTTGTCAAAAGCCTGCATTTTCATTTAGTGCATTCTAGAGATGGCAATTTCGGCATGCAGATTCAAACTGTTTCAAACATGTTCGAAACTTCGGGGTTTGACACGGATTTACGACTCTACTTCATAACTTTGGTCACGTAACTAGTGACGTTTTTCCTGCTCTCTTCCCCCACAATGATCCATGTGCTTTCTTTCACTTTGAAACATTTTAATAGCCGCAGTAAAAGTTTTTGCCACTAGGCTGTGCACTACTGAGAATAAATCTGGTTTCAAAACAATTCTGAGAAACATTTCAAAACAGTGGTCGTTTCAGAGGTTTCAAAACTGTTCCGAAGGTTCGAAATTGCCATCTCTAATGTATTCCATTTAGTTCTGATTGTATTAAAACCTGAGTATTTTCATTTTGTGATTGTACTACAGCCTGATTTTTCATTTGGATCTGATTGTATTAAAGTTTATGACCTCTGTTCATGTTTTTGTATGGAGAAATCAAGATGCGTGTTCTATTAATGGATCAGTCTTAACGCAACTAACCCACGTCTCTGAATAAAATGATCACATCCGATTCAGATTTAGCTTTATTTGTTTGAAAACTGAAGAGCATTACATGAATATAGTGGTATTTTACAGGAAAAAAAAAAAAAACAATATTTTACTCTACAACTCTAATGCACTCACCATTCTACCAGAAATGTACACAAATGAAGATGTGTAACTATTAAAAAGATGACTGGTGTGTGACTGGTGCTGCTCATCTGTGTCTGGTGTAGCGGTTAGCACTATTGATTGGTGCTGTGACGTAGCAGTTCAAGGAACAGTGCTGTGTGTGGTGTAGCGGTTAGATGAACAGTGCTGTGTGCGGTGTAGCGGTTAGATGAACAGTGCTGTGTGCGGTGTAGCGGTTAGATGAACAGTGCTGTGTGTGGTGTAGCGGTTAGATGAACAGTGCTGTGTGTGGTGTAGCGGTTAGATGAACAGTGCTGTGTGTGGTGTAGCGGTTAGATGAACAGTGCTGTGTGTGTTGCAGCGATTAGATGAACAGTGCTGTGTGGTGTAGGTTAGATGAACAGTGCGGTTAGATGAACAACAGTGTGCTGTGTGTGGTGTGAACAGTGCTGGTTAGATGAACAGTGCTGTGTTAGATGAACAGTGCTGTGTGCGGTGTAGCGGTTAGATGAACAGTGCTGTGTGCGGTGTAGCGGTTAGATGAACAGTGCTGTGTGTGCGGTGTAGCGGTTAGATGAACAGTGCTGTGTGCGGTGTAGCGGTTAGATGAACAGTGCTGTGTGTGGTGTAGCGGTTAGATGAACAGTGCTGTGTGTGCTGTGTGTGGTGTGTGTGTGGTGTAGCGGTTAGATGAACAGTGCTGTGTGTTAGATGAACAGTGCTGTGTGTGGTGTAGCGGTTAGATGAACAGTGCTGTGTGTGGTGTAGCGGTTAGATGAACAGTGCTGTGTGTGGTGTAGCGGTTAGATGAACAGTGCTGTGTGCGGTGTAGCGGTTAGATGAACAGTGCTGTGTGTGGTGTTGCGGTTAGATGAACAGTGCTGTGTGCGGTGTAGCGGTTAGATGAACAGTGCTGTGTGTGGTGTAGCGGTTAGATGAACAGTGCTGTGTGTGGTGTAGCGATTAGATGAACAGTGCTGTGTGCGGTGTAGCGATTAGATGAACAGTGCTGTGTGTGTGGTGTAGCGGTGTGTGTGTGGTGTAGCGATTAGATGAACGGTTAGATGAACAGTGCTGTGTGCGGTGTAGCGGTTAGATGAACAGTGCTGTGTGCGGTGTAGCGGTTAGATGAACAGTGCTGTGTGTGGTGTGTGCGGTTAGATGAACAGTGCTGATGAACAGTGCTGTGTGTAGCGGTTAGATGAACAGTGCTGTGTGCGGTGTAGCGGTTAGATGAACAGTGCTGTGTGCGGTGTAGCGGTTAGATGAACAGTGCTGTGTGTGGTGTAGCGGTTAGATGAACAGTGCTGGTTAGATGATGAACAGTGCTGTGTGATGAACGGTGTAGCAGGTTAGATGAACAGTGCTGTGTGGTGTTGGCGGTTAGATGAACAGTGCTGTGTAGCGGTTAGATGAACAGTGCTGTGTGTGGTGTAGGTGTAGCGGTTAGATGAACAGTGCTGTGTGTGGATGAACAGCGGTTAGATGAACAGTGCTGTGTGTGGTGTTAGATGAACAGTGCTGTGTGTTAGATGAACAACAGTGCTGTGTGTGGTGTAGCGGTTAGATGAACAGTGCTGTGTGTGGTGTAGCGGTTGATTGCGTATTGCTGGAGTGTTGCAACTCTTCAGTGCACATGCTTCGTTCAGTCCTGAGTTAGAAGCCAAAATTGTAGCCCAGAGTTTTTTGCAGCAAGACCAATAAATAAATTGATAATTGCATTTGCAACCATGATCCTGATCTGCCTGCTCACTCTCATCACAGGCTTAACAATCAAATCAAAGTCTTAATTTTCTTGTGAACACAAAAAGGATGAAAATCCAACATTGTCCACAGCAGTGATTATTAAACAAAACAACACAAACAGCCTACACTGTGGCGGTGGGCGGGGTCGGGCACAGCAGGGGGAGGGGCTTACACGTCACTCCAAACAGTAATAGAGTTCCACCGATTGCTGCTCGCACAAGCCATCAAACCAGGGCAATCAGAGACCGGCCGCAATGGAGGGAAGATTAGTGACTAGGGTGCGCGCACAAACTCTGGCCTGTAGAGGGCACTCACTCCCGTGCTCGGCCCACAATGGCCAGGATGTACAGGAAGATGTTGATGATGTCGGTGTAGAGATTCAGTGCGGCGAAGACGTACTCCTCTGGGCTCAGAGCCAACTTCTTGTTCCCCAGCAACAGCTGAGTGTCCACAGCCAGGAACTGCAAAGCAAGGGGTTCCACCATCATTAGAGAACTACAATTCCCAGAATCCTCACAGATGTTATATTACTATGTGTACACTGAATACATTCATAGTACCCCTATGGGTATGCAACCCCAACTGTGAAAAAAGTTGATACATCACGGAAAGAGCAAAATCAATCAAAAAGGAGTGATTTGAAAAGTCCACTCACCCTCAACTATATTGATAACACTGCGACACCACATTTTTGAAGTTCTAACATGAATTTAATTGCTTGTAATATACCTTTTCCTCACAATTTTAGGCCCTGAACACACCAGTTGGTTGTGTGGCGAGCAGAATTTTCCCTCATTCCTCTGATATGCAGAGCATTTCTTGCAGTACTTTCCATTTCATTTCATAATGCACCATTCATTGCCAGTCAGACAGGTCAGGACTGCAGGCAGGCGAGTCTGGCACCTGCCCTGCACTTGTGAGCCGTGCAGAATGTAATTTGGCACGGCAAGGATGTCTTTCGACCACACTGCTACATCGAGGCACATGAAGCTCTAAAATTTGTACACATCTTTCTGAATTAATGGTGTCCTAACAACTGTGCAAGTTACCCATACCATGACAGATGCTGGCTTTTGGGCCTGATGCCGATAACAGCTTGGGTTGTCTTGGTCATATTTGGAGCAGATAACATGGCAACCATTTTTTCAATAACCACTTGAAATGTGATTCGGACCACAAGGCATGTAAATCTAAGATGACACTGAGCCCAGAGAAGGAAGGGGCGTTAAATGAACCCGTGTAAACTACTGTTAAATTCATGGATTTGCAGGTATCCTTACCCAGGTCTCATTGTCCCTCTTGTTTTCATTACCACTGTGCATTTAACTGGCTTCCTCACCTCAGTAATTACGTTCCTCTGCTCCACATTGGGTTCTGTCAAACTACATATGATTTGGCTGAACATGAGGTTATAAGAAACTGACACTAAACTTGTTGCTTTTACAAATATCACTAATGGTAATAAAAATTGTGCTGAAAGACTGCTACTTCAATGACTCCTGCTTGGGCAATAATAGCAGTTTACAGTGGCTGTTCTGTGTAGAACATTGCCTCATAACCGTATTCAGATATTTAGGGTCTCGCCCTGCCTTGTCATCCCGACATGAAAAGAGCCATCATTCACCTTATGTGTGATGCTTATGCTTGTTTGTGTGAGCTTTAAGGTGATATAACGTGACCTATTACTGTATTAACTGAATTGGGCTTCTCACTGCTTATAAACTATAAAAGGCTACTCCGTAATGACAGTTTGACAGTGACCAGATGCCCTTTTCTTCTTGAATCCCTGGTCCAGAGGGGCTTTCTGCACATCCCTGGTGTTAGACAGTAGCGTTAAGGGGTAGTGTTCGTGTTGGGGTGGCGTTAAGGCATAGTGTTCACGCTAAGGCGTAATTTTAATGTAAACCGAACCCCAAAAAAAACAAAGATATTTCAACTTTAATTACTAAATTAAATTACTAATTACTGAGATCCTATTTATCCCATCAATGTCAATGTCATTTATTTGGAAAATGGAAAAATAGCGTTGGCTTCTAGTTGGTCATCTATTCAACTCAGTTGGATGAATACTTTGCTTGCTAGCATGCTAACGGTTTTCGCCATTAAATTAATTAATTCAAGCATCTACCATAACAGTTACACATGTAACTCTTTACTTTAATTGCCAAAAAGCGCAAGTATGCTGGCTAACTAATTATTGATCCCATAGACTTGGATAAACCATCCATCCATACTGCTTCCATAGTGCTTCTTCCTCACTAGGGTCCCGGGGAGCTGGAGCCTGTACCAACTGGCGAAGGGCAGGGACCCACCCTGGACAGCTCACTGAAATCCATCGCAGGGCGCACACACCATTCACACACCATTCACTCTCTCACACTCATACCTATGGGCAATTTAGCATCTCCAAGCACCCTGACATTCAGGTCTTTGGGACTGTGGGAGGACACCAGCGTACCGGAGGAAACCCATGGGAACACAGGCAGAACATGCAAACTCCACACAGAAAGACCCCAGGCTGGATTCGAACCCGAGACCTCTTGCTGTAAGGCGGCAGTGCTACCCAATGCACCACTGTGCTGCCCGACTCGGATAAACTGCAAACAAGAAACGAATGCCGGCGATAGTCAATGTTTCCAGCAGAACTGGCAAAGTTACCTTTGCAAATATTTTAGTTGGCATGTGGCTATGAACAGAATATGACCAATCGCGATGCGCGAAAAAGCTGTATCACAGATACAAGTGGCTTTCAGCATTCATGCCTTCGCAGAGCTGCGAGGTTTGAGTGGTGATCTATGCATAAATACAGAAATTGAATTTTCCTTCATTGCAGCAGTTGTGCTTGTAAGTCTGTACATTGAATTTTTCGATCCATTCCCCACTTATTTTTGGCCTCTTTAATGGATAAGGAATGGCATGAAAAGTCTTTCCTCTGCTTTTAATGCTGGCATTTGTACACCCGTACGCTTGGCAGTAAACCATGATGATCGCGTGTTGACACCATTCTAGTTCTACATCTGCTACGTCATATTTTGGGAGGTGTCTAGACCACATGCAAGAACATGGCCGCATTCATATGGATCAGATTACGTAAGCAGTTTGATATTTTTGGTATCTTTCGACCAGCTCTAGCCGCGCACCAAATTTGATGATTGATACATCAAATTAAATGGTTCTCTGTCCTCGAGAATATGATGCATAGAAATTTCCTGAGGTTCGGTTTCCTTTAAAGTGTAGTGTAACGCAGTGGTGTTGGGGTGTAGTGTTACTTCCTGTTTGGAGTGTACTGTTCTGCAATGGTGTTGGGGTGTCGTGTTAGTTCCTGTTTGGAGTGTACTGTTCTGCAGTGGTGTTGGGGTGTAGTATTTGTGTTAGGGTATAGTGTTAGGGTGTGGTATTTGGCAGTAGGGTTTGGGTGTAATGTTTGTGTTGGGGTGTAGTGTTAGGGTCTAGTGCTATCGTTGGAGTGTAGTGCTAGGCGGCTGTGTTCATATTAGGGTGCCTTATTAGGCAGTAGTGTTGGAGTGTAGAGTCAGGGTGTCGTGTTAGGCAGTAGTGTGAGGTTGTAGCATCAATGGTGGGGTGTAGTGTTGGGGTATTCTGTTCAGATTAGGGCATAGTATTAGGCAGTAGCGTTGGTGTGTAGAGTTGGGTGAGTAACATGAAACGAATTAAGATCAGCGTTCAAGTGCAAACCAAGTGTGGGATCCGGGTTAGTGTTAGGGTGTAGAGGTGTAGTGTTAGGGTGTAATGTTAGGTTGGTGAGTACACGATGTGCTGGTTGCTGGTTAGTTTTAGGGTGTAGTGTTAAGAAGTAGAGTTGGATAGGTAACTCTCTAAAGATCTGCAAGGCTTATAAGATGTGCAGGATCTGGGTTAGTGTTGGGAAGTAGTGTTGAGGTGTAGAGTTAGGCAGTAGTGTTAGGGTGTAGTGTTGGGTTGGTAACTTACGTAGGTAAAGATCAGCACTCCGAGCGAGGCGTAAACAATGTGCAAGATGCCGGTTAGTGTTGGGATCTGGGTTATGTTGGGAAGGATCCGAGTTAGGCAGTGTTTAGGGGTGTAGTGTTGGGTTGGTAACTTAAGTAGGTAAAGATCAGCACTCCGAGCGAGGCGTAAACAATGTGCAAGATGCCGGTTAGTGTTGGGATCTGGGTTAGTGTTGGGAAGTAGTGTTGAGGTGTAGAGTTAGGCAGGAGTGTTGGGGTGTAGTGTTGGGTTGGTAACTTACGCAGGTAAAGACCAGCGCCCCGAGCGAGGCGTATACGATGTGCAGGATCCGGTTAGTGTTGGGGTGTAGTGTTGGGTTGGTAACTTACACAGGTAAAGACCAGCGCCCCGAGCGAGGCGTATACGATGTGCAGGATCCGGTTAGTGTTGGGGTGTAGTGTTGGGTTGGTAACTTACACAGGTAAAGACCAGCGCCCCGAGCGAGGCGTATACGATGTGCAGGATCTGGGTTAGTGTTGGGGTGTAGTGTTTGGGAGGTGTAGGTAGACCAGCGCCCGGGCAGTAGTGTTGGGGGGTGTAGTGTTGGGTTGGTAACTTACAGGTAAAGACCAAGCGCCCGAGGCGCGTACGATGTGCAGGATCCGGTTAGTGTTGGGGTGTAGTGTTGGGTTGGTAACTTAGGCAGGTAAAGACCAGCGCCCCGAGCGAGGCGTATACGATGTGCAGGATCCGGTTAGTGTTGGGGTGTAGTGTTGGGTTGGTAACTTAGGCAGGTAAAGACCAGCGCCCCGAGCGAGGCGTACACGATGTGCAGGATCCGGTTAGTGTTGGGGTGTAGTGTTGGGTTGGTAACTTACACAGGTAAAGACCAGCGCCCGAGGGCGTATCGATGTGCAGGATCCGGTTAGTGTTGGGGTGTAGTGTTGGGTTGGTAACTTACGCAGGTAAAGACCAGCGCCCCGAGCGAGGCGTACGATGTGCAGGATCCGGTCACGGATGAAGATGCACAGGATGGAGAAGAAGATCAGCACAGTGAGGCAGACGAACAGAACGCCTCGGCAGGAAGTGAAGTCATACTTGCTCTGTTTCAGGTCACGAGAGGAAAACACATTAGCGATAATCCAAGTCTAAATGCTGTTCCTAAATAACATTCTTACAGCTGCAACCGGCTGGCTACGGAGCAGCGGACTGGCAGTACAGCCTGATGTGACCTATACAGGTGAGATGGACACCAGCTTAACTCAGAACGATGATCTGAACTACGCCATTAAGCTGTTTGTTTCCTTTGTACAGAAGAAAGGTAGTCTGACATACACAGTTAAACTCTGTTTCCCGAGGATTGATATATAGCGGTCTGAACTACACAGTTTAAATCATATATCCTAAGGATGGATTAAAGGTGGTCTGAATTATACAGTTTAACTATCCTAACAATCCACTGCATGAAGTCTCAACTACAGTTCAAGTATCTATACCCTTAAAATCAATTAAAGGTGGTTTGAACTACACATTTCCAGAGAATGCATGCATAGCAACTTAAGAGTTAGGCTGTAGAGATGAGGGCACTTGTAGAAGTGGTGTAGTGTACAGTGTTATGCTTTTAGCGCACACTGGCTAACAACTGAGGGAGCTTTGAGCACAGATCAAGTGAAGGAGTTCAGAAAAGAGCAGGGAGGGAGGGAGGGGGGGCAGTGACTGACCTGAAGAGAGAAGATGACGACGGTGAAACACACCACCGCAGTGATGCCCACAGCTATGATCACGGTGTCCGTGTCGTAGAAGCTGGCGATCATCCCCACCATGTAGGACAGGCTGAGTGTCAGGATGGACTGAAGAAATCACCACAGATTACTAAGGATGGGTTTAACGTTCACTGAGCACAACAGGATGAGGATGGATTTCACATTCACAGAGCAGAACGGTTAGGATGGATTTAAGATTCACAAAGCAGGACAGGGAGGCTGGATTTTACATTCTTAGAGCAGAGCAGAGTAACGATGAAAAAAATGACTACAGAACAGAAAAACTGGATCTGACTGGAAAAAATATCCAAAAAGTAGACACTTGGCATCACAGAGCAAACCACAGACAAACGATCACGGAGCAGGAGTGAGAATGGCAAAATCACAGAGTAAGAGAATTAGCATCTAAAGAGGCTACGTGACCACAGAGCAGAACAAACAGCATCAGGATAGACTAACGGACACACACAACAAAGCAGAACTTCTGGGGTCACCAAAGATATAAACCAAAAACCCCACGATCCCCTGCAGTCCTGATTCAGTCTGGGTTTACATTAGCTGGTTTTTGGCCGGTGAAATCAATTCATGCCTGAGAAATTTTGAACTTGCTGGTCAAAGTGCCGGTAAATATTTTCACAACAAGTAGGCTTCTTGCCTCGTCCATATGCGTAACCAGGTATAGCCTAATAACAATGGAGTAAGCCAGTCACTCTCTGCCCGCTGGAAATAAATATTGACATTTACCTGGGTTTTTATTCCTTTTTCGCCCTCTTTTTGTTACCGCATAAACTTACTGCTAAGTGACATATTTAGTGTTCGCTTCTGGTGGCTGTGCCTGGATCAGCTTATTAAATTCAAGTTGCGTATCTTGAGCACTTCGTTTACATAGTAAGCGAGTCGTTCTCTTGACCCCTTTGAAATAATTAAAGATTAACGCTAACCGGGGTTTTACTCTTTTTCGGTTTCTCCTTTTCAACGAAGGGCTCTTATGCGTAAACATATAGCCAAATACGATATTTTAGTGTTTTTCTTCTGGTCACTGTGCCTCGATCAGCTCCTCAAAGTTTAGTCGCCTGTTTGAGTGCTTAGCTACAACCTGTTGTGGGATATCGTGTTTGGTTACCTCACATCCGACCCGTTTGGATGAATTAAAGATTAAAGTTTACCGGAGTTTTACTCTTTTTTGGTTTCTTTTGATTGTAGTACCCGTTTGTGGCTAGCTAGCTAGAAAGTTACTGTTTGCATTTGTGACTTGGGATCTGAGATTTAGCGTTTAGTTAACAGGTCAACAGTTACGCGAGTCGACGATTCGGTTAGGTTGTAATTATTAAAGCGTAAGGTTTTCTGGAGTGCTCCGCCGGCCCCTGCCCTGGGAGGATGGATCCAATAGGAGAGGAGAGGGTGTAGCACTCTATATGAAGGAAAACATTAATGTGCAGGAAATTCCTGAAATCCAACATTTCTTGCCCTGTTAAGATATCTGGGTCAAGCTCACTGGCAAACACGAGACAGGTTTAAACACAGGAGTATGCTATCGACCGCCAGCTTTGGACAGTATTGTTAATGAAATGCTCTTTAAGAGGATTAGGCAACCTTGTAGAGGAGGAGGGACTATGATTATGGGAGACTTCAATTATCCTGGGAAAATGGTGAAAGGACAGGGTAAAGGGGAGGAAGAATTTCTAGATGTTATAATTGACAATTTTTTGGTGCAGCATCTTAATAAACCCACAAGAGAGACAGCAAGTCTAGATATAGTGCTCTGTAACGACCCTGATAGAATTTGCAATGTAGAGGTAATGGAGCCACTTGGGACTAGTGATCATTCTACTGTTAGTTTTGATATTTCATGGTAAGTTAAAAAGGTGTCTTTGAAAACTAAAATTTT